TCTTCAGCTGGTCCAACAGAGTCTAAGAGAGCCACGCCGCTCAAGTCCCAAGTCGAAATATCACGCGTGTTGGTGGGCGCAAGAGCGCGTGAGAGTTGGGATGTGGGTGTAGCTCGTTTCTTCACCCACATCGCAGTTTTGAATTGATTTTGAGCCCGCCTATGCACATGTTATTTCATCTTTGTTGTTGAGTAGAGTTGATTTGTAAGACACTATTTGACCAGCTGCAGAAAGTCAAGAGAAAAACCCAGACACATTTTTATTTTTATTTCATTCTGTTTCGTTATCTTTCTTCCTTTTTTTTTTACCGCGAATCACGTTTAAGTGGTATGGGTTTCTTGACTTTGTATACGCAAAAGTTGGAAGAAATGACGTTTTTCATACAATGAGAACTGTTTATCGCTCTCTTTCTTAGTTTAGATATTTTTCTCCAAACTTCTTCGACAGATATATCCAGGCATGAACTAAAACCAAAGCTACTTTTGAAGTATTGGTTTGGAGTTTTGTTTTTGGCTACAGATAATTAGAAAAGATTGACTTTGACTCAAATTCAATATTTTCTTAATTATTCAAAAACCAAAAGGTTTGGTTTTACTGTATGCCTAGCTATATCTTTTATCTCTCAATCGGATGATGTGATCAAAATATTGATATTAGATGCAATTTTACAACCATTATCTCGTATTCTTTTCGTGCACTGAAAAGGTACACATATTTTCAACTAAATCTTCGTATTTGCTATCATCATTTAGATTTGTCTCTATTTGTTTCACCTTGTTACTATCCAGGTATTGCATATTGCTATGAACACTAGAAATTTCTTCGTGTTTCTGATTACCATAACTTATATAGCTGTTCAAGGTGTAGCATTTGCTGACAACAACACAAGTGGTATTCAATCGTTCGGTCATCGAATTAAATCTCTTCAACATGAAACAGGATACCTGTGTTCTTATATTGAAGGAACATCACTTGTCACAACAAAAGAATTTATAACATTGATACAAGATGCACATATTCATAGTCCAAATCTTAAAGAAATGGAAGTTGCACTGACTAACATAGCAAAACAAGCAGATACATATCATTCCTCCGTTACCGAACAGTTAAGCGATTGTAAAGCATTATTTTATATGCTGACGAAAAGTTTAGATAATGGGGGTATGGTTGACTATTATCTGAACGAAGGCAATTATTCGCTTGTTACAAGCATTATCGACAAGTGGCATCAATCATTTTTAAACTTTAGATCCAAATTTTACCTGACAGATACATCACTGGATATTATTCTCAGTAATAAAAAAGTGCTTTTTTATGATAATTGGATTGGTGGCATAGCAAAATCCGCATCAATGTTGATTGTTTTATCAATCACCTCAGTAATAGCACTGAAAGTGTTTACGTGGGTGGGTTTAGTTTTTCGGATCATTACATTATTCAGTCCGCCTTCCACGGATTCGTGTCGAAAAGAATCGTCTATTAATAGTGACTCTCCGCGAGTAGAAGCTTCAAAGACTAACTCAGATAGTCATGATCTACGTCATCGCACACTCAATAAAGAACAACAGCTTTGTACTCAAGAAGCCGAGACAAAGCAGTTGGCTTCCACTAAATCTGCATTAGACCAAAGAGATATTACGAGCTCTTCAGCACCGTCTGCGTCCCCTAAGCTTTATACAACTGTTACGATACTAGTCTGGTTCACCGTTTTTTGTGGGCTAATTGCCATTACAGTATTGTGGGATCCTTCTAAGATTTCTTTTTCTAAATCATCCCGATATAATTGGTATCCTGATGCAACCGTAGCCATGGAAAAGATGAGAGTGGACCGGGACAAAGTACAATCCATTGTATCTCGTCAAATTCTTTCAATCGAAAAACTGCGACGTTATGCCAACATGTATCATGATGCGACTATTCAAGCAAACGCAGATGAACTTATACGTAACCTTGGGGCAGGAATTCGACAGGCGAGCAAAGAATTATCAGAAGTGTATATAGCGAGTGAAAATCTACCATCAACGTTTCGGCAAGCGTACAGAAATATTGAAGCGCACGCAAAAAAAACAGGCAGACTTGCTGAAGCAAATCAACTTTTGACTGAATTGGAAAAAACTTCTGCAATGTACGAAAAACTTCAACGATCTGTTCAAACATTAATGATTAATCAACAAAAACTACTACCCACATTAAAAGAACAAACACAAACCATGCAAGCGCTCGTTCAACAGGGTCATGTAATGGAAATCAATCGTATTGCTAAAGAACATATAAATACTGTCATGGATATCGATGGCCACATTTATGATGTCAAGATCGTAGTAGAACAACTTATTCAAATTGCCGAAAACGATAACTCTGATGGAATGAAAAGGGCAATTGAAGAATTGAAATACCAAACCGTTACTGATCAATATAAGGCAATGTTTTACGGAGCAACAGGGGGTCTTGGAGGCGCTGTGTCAGGATTGGTAGCAATCAAGTCGGGATATGCAGTAGTTTCAATCACGGCAACAGCTGTTGCTGGTCCTATTGCAGCTGCTGTCGGAGGAGTGGGTTTACTTGGTTTGGGTGCATATGCCTTAGTTACAAGCTTTGATAAGTACAACGATGCGTCACGTTATAAAACCGAACTGAAAATTTTAGAGGCCCAACAAGGGAACTTGCACACTGCTATGAAAAATTTAGAGAAGGCAATTATTGCTCAACAGACAGCGTCGAAAGCAACTCTAACAGCTCTGGATAATATTGTTATACATTCTGCTTCATTCTCGGACACTACTGGTTTCAAACTGCCCACTGCGAAACGAATTGCCCTTAGTAACGAACTACTCCATATTATTTCGCAATACAATACTTTGATAAGCTTTTTTAATTCATTTAAACGATATACGATTGACAATGATCAAGAACGTCTGCCAGCATAACCGGCTACTTTTTCAATCAATCACGAACCATTTTATCATCGTTGTGTGTGTTGAACGTTTTTCTTTTCTTCTTTAATTTAATTTTGATTTATTTTTGAGTAATAAAAAGTTACAAAAATAAGAAAATTCAGTACGTGAGATGAAACCGTGACGAGCTTAATGTTCAGTTGATCTAATTTCTTCATGTAGCAAATCTTCTCATTCATAGACAGAACATATAGAGTCGTTCGGGGTAATTCGGATCAGAAATCAAAAATCTCATTTTTTTCGTTCTCATTTATTTTACTCGATAGAGGTTTGAATTTTGGACCATAACTAGAACAAACTCTCGTCTATCTATTGATGAAAGAATCTTCAAAAAAAAAATGTATTAGAAAAAAGTATCAGCGAAAATGGCGCAGGTCATGGCGAGCTGATCTGAATTACCCATTTGGGGTAATTCGGATCAGTCATACAATCTTGTCCGGGTAATTCCGATCACTCCAGCAAAAATAGCTGGAATATTTTTTCCCAACTCATAACTTTTTTTTTATCGATCTTCATATGAAAAAAAAAAATTACTGGATAGCCCAAAGTCTCATCTGTGGGACCTGAAAATATTTCGTTGCATGAACAAACTATTATAAGGCATTGAATATAAACTCTGAGACCACCCTAAATCATGTAAAATTGCATTTGGGGTAATTTGGATCAATAAGCCAATATAGATGGGGCAATGCGGATCAGACTTATTTTTTATTTTGCGTAATCCAGATCATTCTAATCGAGACAGAGTGAACGTTTCTAATCTTATCCATTCAGTCTTTCCCAACTTATATCAGATTTAAAAGCATTTGGACTACAAAAAGATGAAGTGAAAAATAATACAGAACATCATATTCATTATTGAATTTTGTTAGTATTTGTTGATTCGATTGGACTTCATTGTATAATACAATCTTTATTTTATTCAACTTTGCCTATAAATAATATGATAAATCACCTAAAATTACATTAAATAAGATAAATGTGAATAACATGTCATTTTCCACTATGACAAAAAAAAGGAGCGGGGTTGATAAGTAATGAAATCCGCCCCTTGAGAAATTCGACTTTGCTCAAGCCAAACTACCCTATTAGGTGCTTGAAAGCGTTCTGTGATAGAATTAGTCAAATAGAACTTGTGTTTGCTATGAACAGGTCCAGTAACTTATTCAATGTGTTTTGCATTAAAATGATCCCGGTTTGCCATGGTGACCATCTCGTTTTATCCACTCTGTACATGACCGAGCAGCTTCGTTTTCATATGGTTGAATAGCAATTTTTGAGAGCTTCGAAATGGTACAAAAACATCGACGAATAAAAATTGAGCAGCACCATTTGACATGGAGAACATTGAACCACATAGTCATTAAGGGTGTGGGTGTGGGTGTGGGTGTGGGTGTGGGTGTGGGTGTGGGTGTGGGTGTGTGGGTGTGGGTGTGGGTGCGGGTGGGGGGGCGGGCGCC